GGGGTCAAACACGGGTTATTGTGACCACTCGGGTGGACACGTGGGACTCAACACCATGATATTGTGCACACTTTGCACACTTGCATGTGCACCGTGTCGTGTAACCCAGTTGAAATAAAATCAGTGAAATAAATTGAAAGCATTCTCGTACCCATCACGTAATGGAGAGGGCTGTCTTCGAAAGAGCGGCAATGTAAGCCACACTGAATAAATACCCACATGATCCGTTTTTAGTATTATTTTTCGACGAGTTTTGCCAACAGGAGTTGGTCTTATCGGGTGGTCAAAGGTTTTAACACTACTTGTCACTACATCACTGTTTGCAAACAACCTCTTCGATATATTTGCTCGACCGAAGATTCGACCACCTTGCCAAGAGAGAGACGAGTGCCAAATCTCTTTAGGTCAGCAGCGCCGCCAAGGCTGGGGTTCCCACACTCTGTCGGGGGTAGGGGGGGGGGGGGGGGGTCTACCAGCGGGGACCCCCAGGGGACCGATGTGGGGACCCGCAGGTACCGGAGGAGGGCTTTGTCTCACATCGCGAGAAAAGGGCGCCGCAGACAACTTTTCATTTCTTTACCTTCCGCCACTATCACATGACAACGATGGCGAGATTTGCGAGCGACGGCATCCGCAAATTGGGGAAAGCCGCGTAAAAGATAAACTTTTAACGACAAATTTTACTGATGAAGAACAAAATCACTAGCGTAGTTATAAGTTTCCATGAAATGTGGGTGGGTTAGTACAGATCTTTCCTCGAGGATAATCACGAAGACTACGGCAAAATAATTGAGCTAGTTAATCCACAATTTTTTTTAGGTCACGTGTAGTCGGTGACTGGCTACTGGCGTTGTTGTCCAAGCTACCACACACGAACGCGCACAAGGGCATGTCACACACACACAAGGAAAGGGCCGCGCGACTTGACGTTTTGCGGCTAAACGGCCTCTATGTGTGTGTGCGTGTATGTGTGTGTCCGACACGCAAACCGTGTCATCGGGGAAGTAATGCAGATTGCCGGCCAGATGTGGACCTCACCCGCCCCGCCACGCCCCACCACACCAGGCTTACAATGGCCAGTGGTGCGTTGCGGCGTGGCGTGGCGTGGCCCCGGGGAGACCCTCTGGCTCGGTGTCTCTAGGGCAGGCCGCGCGCTGGTGTGCGTGCGTGCGTGTGTGTGTGTGCATCGCACCACATTGTGTGGGCAAACATATTGCGGGGCTCAAAACACACCTACACGTGCACACACGGCATAGCGGATTCCGCGCGCAAGGGATCCCCGCTGCTCCCACTCGCAGATCCAATAAGTTACCCCGTGCAGCATGTGTGTGTGCGGTGAGGGCAGCACTCTTGGATTAATTATTTCAGGATCCGCGCACAACTCCGGTAGCAGAGCGGCGCTCCCTGCCGCGACCCGAAGGCGTGCGTGTGCGTGTAGGGAAGTGCACTGCGCAAAGAAAATCGCAACGGGTCGTCCAACGACCCGTTCATGACATTGTTGAATCGGCTAACTTTCGCGGTTTCCCGTGGAAATGGTTTAAGTTAGGCTGACTGTGTGAGTTTGTGTTCTTGTTTCTAACTTTTATAAAACGTTACTCTTGGAAGTGGAAATGAAATTATCATAACAATGTACCAAAGTGTGAGCATATTCTATGCTCGAATCAGTAACTGATTGAGTGCAAGACACTATTTTCACGACTCGGCTAGAACCGCGTTGCCTTCAGAGGCTCAAAAGAAAGTTTAGATTCATTCAAAATAAATATTATTGCAACTGTCAGAAATAGAATTAATTCTCAGTAAAGCGTTATTGCTCCGCTGCATTTTAGCAGTGTTGGCTGCCAGGGCAGTCCACTGTTGTGCGTACGGCGCACTCTGTACGCCTCACGCCTCGGTCGGTCAGCGCGCTGGTCGCGGCCACCGACCGATCGCCTCCGTGCCTTACTTCCCTACATTCACGATGAGCATATGGAGGATGGATGGGGCACGCGACGCGCCCGGCAGCATCACACACGTATACACACATGCGAGTGTGTCGGCGAGCAGACCACAAATAATAAATCTACACGAAAAAGACGCAAAAGGGCACAACGGCCACCGGGGCAGCGACGGAGCGGTACCGCAGTGGCGCTATAGCGCTACTGTCCGCCGCCTTCCCCATGCTCGGGGTAATAGGAGCGTGATGGGGGAGCGTACCTCCACGTACCGGCCCGACCCACAGCGAGACAGAGAC